AAATGGCGGCCTTCCTCTGCACATTTTATGTAGCTGTGGGGAGAATGACAAAAGACAGATGCTTCTTGCTGGAATGATAGTTGTTTAATCATTCTTTCTAGTCCCAAGACATTTACTGTAGCTTCTTGGAGCTGACATCTTGGGCTGCTCCTTGGTTTTCAATGTCTTGTAAATTATGTTGCAATTTTCCATTACAAGGAATATGGGGAAAGTCTGTGGCAGAGTTTTTTCAAAGGTGTCATGTTGTGGATGGTGTTGTCTGGGGCCAAAAGCCTTAAAACTGGGAATGCAGGAATTTTTGGTAAATAAACTGTAAGTTCTTGAAGGGGGACACAAAATATATAACCTCATCTCCTCCTGACTCCCACCCAGCCTCCCTCAGAACTGCAGAAGCATTCATGTCAACTGAAAGGCTTCACAGCCACACACCAGGTTAGTCTTCCCAATAGCGTGGCCTGCCACATGGTACCCACAAAGGAGGAAACCCACTTCCTTTCTAGGTTCTGTGGTCCCCACTGAATGCCCGCCTGCTGCATGGCAGACTAGATGCCCCTCAGAATCAGAGTAAAACTCGTCTTAGTCACAGACCACCCTCCTCAGTAGGTTTCTTGCTCTGTTTTCAGAAAGATAGCATGAAAGAGAAACTGCAAAGTCATGATGTCCTCAAGTGTTTTCATCAGGTTACAGGGTAGCAGTAAATGATTGGCTTCTCATGTACATCCTTGTTTTCCCAGGGGGATCCCATTCTTACCAACAGGTGAATCGAAACAGCAATTTAGAAAGTGATTTTTTTTTCTTTTTCCTAAAAGTCAGAACACTGAATTGAATTTCATTAAGTCCTATTGTTTTAGCATATCTGGTTACATTTGTTTTTTGTTTATTTGTTTGTTTTTAATATGAACCTGTGAATATTTTTTCTCTTCCTCTAGTTAAAAAGTTGTAAATTATCTTGCTTTGCTCTATAGCCTCCCTCTACTGTGCAAAGATGCTCATTTCTTTTCTCCCTGGTGATGATTGTGTCTCTGAAGAGCTCTCTTCAATATGAGGGAGCTTTGGAATAGAGAAGGCACACTAGAAATGGAATCCAGTGTCTATGGTACCCATGGGCTCTCTGTTTCTTACATAGGAGAAAAGAATACATACACACACACACACACACACACATACACACACACACACTCATGTGTACAGGAGGTACATTTGGCAGCAGGTAGGCTAAATAATAAGATCTTGTCTTCCTAGACCACTTTCCACAAGGACGTTTATAAATATATAAAGATTATCTTCAAAATGCTCTCTTCAGCTACACTAAGAGCTAGTATTATTTTCCTATTTCATGAGGCAAAACCAGAATTAGGAGAAACGACTCAGCTCTGCCAGCTTCACCCAGATCAGAAAGCGAGTCCCACCCTTCTGAGACTCAGCGACATTATCCATCAGACCCAAGCCTCTCCCAGCCTCTCCGGCTCTCCTCTGTGTACAGACCAATGTTCTTGGCTCCTCATTTGATCTTAAAGTCAGTGTTGGGTGAATCAGTCAGAAGATTTGGACATTCTGTTCAGGGAACATTATAAATTCATCAAGATTTGCTGGATCTGCAAAACTCTCCTGGCATTCTTAGTAGAATAACTGTCCTCTGTCCCCACATGACTTCATGAAATGTAAGATTTTTATGAGATGATAGTTTCCCCATCGCCTGGAGAGATAAGCACCCTGACGTATGTCTCTGCTGCCCATGAGGTTTTCTCTTCTGGCAGTCTTTCTTGCCTGTCCTGATCCACCAAGGCATCGTATAAAACTCAATTTGACTATTACCATCTCCTTCACTGAGGCTTCACACCCATTCTCCACTTCTACCTTCTTAGCAATGCCCCAAATTTATTCAGGTCTCCACTCACATCTCTCCCACCAAGATATGTGTCTGGTGAAAATTGTTGATCTTAGCCCTAGCTCCACAAAAGATCAATCAACATAAGCATAGTATCTGTTTCTTAACTGTCCTGTGGCCTTGACCATCAAAGGAGAGAAGAAGCACATGGGGGTTCTTGGTTTTCACTAGGAAGACAGAATCCAAGAAAGAGAGGGACATTCCTCTTCCTCTGAAGTGCCATTGTCTGTCTGTTGCCATATGATGGCTGCCTGCCTCCCTTGGGGCACTAAGTAAAATAGGCCTCTTTCTAAGACCCAGTAGCCACTGAATTCTGAGAGTCTCAGTTTCCTCTTTTGAAAAATGAGGAAGTTGACCTAATTTATCTGTAGCTTCCTTCCAGTTTTAGAATACCAAATATGCTTCTCAAAGATGCTGGGGAGGGCCTAGGAAGTGCAGAAGGCCAGCTAATTTTATCCATAGCTCTAACAATCTGGAGTCATTAACACTTAACAAGCAGTTCGAGTTTTAAGAATTGGGTGATCTCAACTCTTCATCTGAAGAAATGAGTAGTAATCTTGGTTTACCATGAAGACTCACACTACTTTTTCCCTGCAGCCAGGCTGTTAAAATCCACTCCTAACTCATTCAGTAAAGATAATGTTTCTACTAAATTAGTGAAAAGAGTAGTACAAGTTTAGGAAGTGAAAAAAACTTTTTTTTCTCCTTAATTTTAAGTTAGAACATTCCCCACCCACTGCTGATGTAATTGTCTCAAAACCACCCAAGAAGACCTGAAGAATTAGTAAATGGTAGGGCAGTTGTATGGAAAAATTAAAGAAAAAAAATACAGGATTATTTTGCCTTAGGTTAAGTAGCTTTTTTAACTTGCTTCAAAATGTTAAAAGAATTAAGTTGAAGCACCATCTAGTGGCCCTCAATTGTGTCTTGCCACAAGTAGCTCCAGATTTTCTTTAGTTTGAGACTGTGATTAATTTTTCTGTAGGTGCATATATAATACATATGGGTGTTCAAGAAAGAAAAATAATATGGGTTTCCCCCCACCACCACCTTTTATTCTTTTTATGTAGAGATAGGAAGATGGAGGTTGGAAGGAGGGGCTATAGTTTTCTACTCTTCCAGTCAAGTGCCATCAATAACGTCCTGCCAGTGAGAATGGGATAGAGAGGTGGCCTGAATTCACGTAAGTCTCTCCCACAAATGACTGAGTCCCTTTGGTGAAAAAGAATTAACACAATAAAGTCCAATAGATCTCAATTCCTCTGTTTCTCTTACTCACAATGGTATGTTGGTCTTTCCAATCCTACAAAGCAGATATGTCCTCTCATGTCTAGTGACAACTAGATGATCTTCTCACAGCCCCAGATTCCCAAGTCCTTTCCCACCCACCACAAGCCACAGCATCACTTAACTTTACATAACCAACGGTTCTTGCAAAATCTTCATAGAAATGGCTCTGTGATTCCTAACCTCTGATGTTATGCCTGTTTTATTACCTCTAAGTCAAGAACAAAAATAGATCACTATATGCACATAAGTAGAACATAACCTGTTTTTGCAAGATTGACAACAAACCTTCAGATTGACCAACTAGGTGTTTATGACAATGAGGATGAAGTTCGGCTTTGTGTACAGTAAAACCCAAAATAGCAGTGCCATGAATAAAATAGTTTATTCTCTTATACAAAGTCAATAGGTAGATGGACTAGGGTTGGTAGGGCAGCTCCATGGTCATCAGGCCCGGGATGCTTCCATCTTTCTTTTTCCATTTTTTTTAAATCCATCTCAGTGAATAGTCTTCTTCCTCAAGGGTCACTCATAGCTCAAGTTGGCTGCTGGACCTCCAGTCATCACACCAATGTTGCAGTCCAAGAAATAAGGAGGAAAAGCAGAAAAGCACCCTTCCTTTCTCTTTCAAAAAGTTTTCCAGAAAATATCACAGAAGATATGCTTATATTTCATTTGCCAAAACTCAACAGGGAGGTGGGCAGGTTGGAGTGAGGTGATTCAGCTATACTCTATGTGGTTCTCACTCCCCAGCAGGCTAGGCCAGACATGTTCTCATTGGAGCAGCAGGCAGAAACATGAAGGACCTCATGAGACCCATGCTCAGATGGTACACTGCCACTGCTGCCTCATTTTATTGGCCAAAGCAAATTACATATGGTGGATAAGCATGTACTCTCCTTACGGAAAGGACTTTGAAATCCGCTGAAAGCTTGCATGGGTAAAAGGGGGTGTGAACATAATCAATGGCCACAAAGAGAAAGGGTAGGACCACAATGGACCAGGCAACTTGCAATCTCTGCTGTCTTTTTCAGTCTATTACAGAATTGAATTACAAGACTCCTTCACTTTCAATATGCTATCATAAACATGAAAAAAATCTAATACAAAATCTAATAAATATCTATGATATTTACTAATGAAAATATTTATCAATTCATGTTAGATGACAAATAGAGTAGGCATTAATCTTAGCACTAGTCCTATTATTTACTATTGGCTAGATGTATAACAAGCTTGATTCCTTTTCTTCCAAAGCAGTCAGACCATTTTCCAAGCTCTGTACAAGTTACCATGACCTTCAGACTGAACACTAGACAATGGAATTCGAGTAGAAGTAATTGCTACTCCAAGTCTGGCCTGTAAAATCCTCCCACATAAAATCCTGCTGCCTTTTCACCAGGTGACTACAGAGTACTCTGAGGAAATCAGAGTCATAGCATAAAGAGGATAAAATGCTAGCTTGGAGCAATACCTGTCAAACCACTGTCCCAGACCCACCAACTACATTGGAGTTGGAGTGTGATTTGAGTAAGAATTAAACTTTTTTGGTGGGCAACCAAGAATCTAGGATGAAAGCACCACCTAATTAGAGTACTGGACTAGTGTAGTATCTTCCAATATTAAGCATTCATTTTCTCCCCTACAGTTTTATTGAAAACAAAACTAGTAGCCCAAATCACTCACAACTTTACATAAGAAAAGATTCCTTTAGCTGGGCATGGTGGTGCGTGCTGGTAATCCCAGTAACTTGGGAGGCTGAGGGAGGAGGATCACAAGTTTGAGGGTAGTCTCAGCAATTTAGCAAGGCCCTAAGAAACTTTAGTGAGACTCTATCTCAAAATAAAAAATAAAAAGGGTTGGGGACATGGCTCAGTGGTGAAACATCCCTGAGTTCAATCTACAGTATGGGGGGCGGGGAGATACATTTAGGTAAAACAACACTTTTTACTACAGGATTACCATCTGAATCAGCAGCCTTTCAAGATATTAGGGCTTCACCAGTATCCCACCCTTTACCCTCATTAATCCATTCCAATCTGTAACTTATAATATAAACAACAAACAGTACTGAGACACTTAGAGCTCTGAAAGGTCAGGGGACCTTCAGCATTGTATCCAAGGACACTGGCAGTTCCTTAGTTGGGAACAATTTATAACTTCTACTAAAATGCAACTATTGCTAAAAAAGACTTTAAGCCATTCACTTAGGATTCAGTCCAAATATGCAATGTGACTGCCCTGGTACTTGCTAGGAAGAAAAAAAAAAAAGGACAGAAGGTTCGCTACTGGCCAACTTGCAGGCAGTGTTTATAGTGGCTCTAGCCATTGCAACTTTGATAGCATCTCAAGTGGACAAAGGAACCAAGAAGCTGGATGAAAGCACCATCCAAAGGACTCAAGGGGTGTAGAAAAACTGCTCAGCATTGCTGTTTGAATTGCTGAGCCATCTTCTTCTTTAGGCTGGGAAGCAGGATTGTTTTACTTTGTCTAATAAGCATTCACTGAAGGAAAGGGAAGAATAGACAAAGCATCCTTGACATTTATGACAGCAAACACCAAGCTTTTGCATATGTGTATATACTGTATGTTAAGAGACTGAAACTGCCTGCAACTTATGTCCATTCTCATAAACGCTTAGGTACGAAAGTGCACTTCAGCTAGATGTTGAACATGAGGCTGATTACAAATGGCTGTTTTCTTGTGATGTCTCATCAACTGACTTCCAGCTCTTCTGATTTTTATTCTCTAGGAAGAAACATAATAATAACAATAATATTAATAATGATAATAATAATAATAATAATGCAAGAAACAAGTCATCCGAATCATGGAAACATGGAAGTAAACTCTTGAGAAGTACCAGCAGCCTCTTAACCTCCTGCTGGAATCTCAAGGAGTGTGCTAGGCTAGGACTCTCTTGGTTCAAAATCACAACCAACCTCTGGCCCCAGTTCTGTGGACACTTCTGCCAGGTCTTCTGGTTGTTCACAAAGCCTAATGTTAAAGAAGCAGCTGAGGCAGCGAACACAATGTGTCATGAAATGTGTCAAGCTCATTCCAGCACAGAAGGAACTCAAAAGTCTCCCAGTGATGTTTGCTTCCTACTGAGTCTTACCAGTTCTTACCTGCAATCATTTATCCTCTGGAAGAAAGCAAATCCCACCATGACCAGAATGACCACAAGAAGAGAGAGTTTCGCATAGAGAATGATCAGCAGAGTTGAACCTGGAGATTCTGGTGTTCCGAGACCTTTAAATGTAGGTAAGAGTTAAAAGTCTGTTTGAAGATTCTTATAATTAACAAATTAGAGTCAATGGTTTAAAAGAATACTTTAAAAATATTCCTAAAAGTTCATAGATTGTCAAAATTTTTTTTTAAAAAATCTAAATTATATTTCAAATATTACTAATGTATCATTATTTCATGACTGAGTTCAGGAACCATATCTTTGTTTTGTACTTGGTTTAACACATATTTTAACACATATTTTCTGAAAGAATAAGAATATTCTAAGCATTTTTAGTTGTTCTAAATATTAAAAAAAAAGAAAAAGAAAAAGAAAATTTCCCTTGCAAAGTTTAATCTTATTCTGAATATTTTGGGCATGATCTGATAACACTTTCAACACACAGTGAAATGATTTTGTCACTGAGTAGATAGAACCACTTTAATAAAGTGTTTTATGTCTTCCTACTTTCGTTTTACTGATCTGTAAAATGTCCCCTGGGATTTGTTTAAAAGATAAAAGCAGACTAATCGGATCATTATTCTGCAATCTTTTCTTCTATGAAAAGGCACAGTGAGGGGATAAGAAGACAATATAATAAGGATGCTGATTCATACCGGGGATGAGTGGGGGATCATGGAAGGAATAGATGAACTTTAGTCAGGGCAAAAGGGAGGGAGGGAAAGGGAGGGGGCACAAGGGTAGGAAAGACAGTGAAATGAGAAGGACATCGTTACCCTAAGTACATGTATGAAGACATGAATGGTGTGACTCTACTTTGTGTTCAACCAGAGATACGAATGTGCACTATAATTGAAATGCATTCTAGTGTCATATATAACAAATTAAAATAAATAAAATTTAAAAAAAAATTTAAAAATAAATTTTAAAAAAAGAAAGGACAATATGAATGCAGTCCCCCAAAAGCTCAAAGTCTAACTGGAGAAGTCAAACACACACAAATGAAAGAGAAGTCATGAGAGAGCAAATGGTGCTGGTGAGCATTAGATTATAAGCCATCTGAGGAATAAGAATGGTTCATCAACTCCGAGGGTCAGAGAGAAGTGGGATTTAAACTGAGCTTTGCTGGTCTGCAGTATTAAATAGGTTAAGAGAAGAAGGAAGGATGTTTCAAGGGAAAGGAACAACTTAAAGCTTTGAAGATTTGGGGCATAGAGTGAAAAATGTAGAGACTGGGTTTTGTGATAATCAGAACCTAATTGTGCAATTATTTGTGTCAGGTATTGTGACAGATCTTAGTGATGTAGAATTGGAAAAAAAAAAGTGGTTCCTATTTTCAAGGAACTTACAACAACGTACTGGAAATCAAAGACATCTGTAGTTGTGATACAAAGAGAAATATAATGTCTTTGTTACCAGGCTCCTGGCACATAGCTTCTAAAACCTTGGAAATATCACCATAGTAAGAGTGTCTTTTGTATGCTAGCAAGATGACTGGTGTCTGGAAGACCTTATATATCTTCAGAATGAGGATTAGTTATCAGAAAAAGTAAGGCATGATTAGAGTTGTAACATTCAGCCTCTATCACCACCACAACCACCATCACTGAGCTCTAAGGAGGCTAGAGATTGAGTTAATCACCAAACACCAATGATTTAGTCAATCAAGCCTATGTAATGAAGTCTCCATAAAGACAATGAACAATGGGGTTTGGATAGCTTCTGCATTAGAAGACATATCCAGGAGCTGGGAGAATGGCTTTCTCTAAGATGGTATGGAAGCTCCAGGCCCCTTCCCCTGTACTTTGCCCTATGTATCTCTTCCATTTGGCTGTTCCTGTGTTGTTTCCTTTATAATAATGAATAACAGTAAATAAAATGCCTTCCTGAGTTTTGTGAGCCATTCTGGCAGATTATTGAATCTGATCGGAGAAATGTGGGAACTCCTTGAATTTATAGTCAATTAGCTATAAGTACAGGTGGCAACTAAGACCTGTTACTGGTGTCTCAAGTGGGGGCAGTATGTGAGACTGACTCCCTAAGCTGTGGGATCTGTGCTAATCCCAGGAGTTAGCATCAGAGTTAAATTGAATTTCAAGACACCTGGTTAATACCTGGAGATTTAGAGAATTGGTTGGTGTGCAAAGAAAAGAACCATGCTCATTTGGTGTCATATTGTGAGTGAAAATAGTTCAGAGCCATCAATGACAGACATATGGAAGTACCCTGACAGAGGCACACATGAAGCATTACGTCAATACAGAGAATAAATAGTTGACTAAGCTTCAAATTAAAGAAAAAAATCATCCCAGAGGAGCAATGGCTCAAAACTCAATAAGAATTGATCAAATGCAATGAAAGAAATGAGCACAGAGAAAGAAGTACATTGTGGGGATGTTGAAGCTGAGTGTAAAAGGCAACAGAGAAACAGAGCAGAATACTTTTGAAAAGCCGAAAAGGACCCACATACCTGGGGTGCAGACTGGAGAAGAGTGAGACATGAGGCAGAAAAGAGCTGCTGTAGTGCAAGCTGTCAAAGGGGTTTAGCTTTCCATGAAGCCAAAGGAGCCTTGGGGGTCATGTAAGTAGAGGAGTGGAACATTTTTCATTTTAGAATGGTCCTTGTGAAATAATCCAGGGAATAAATTGAAATTAAGTAAGCTAAGGGCCAGTAGTCTTGCTCTAGGGCCATTTCAATAATCTTGGTGAGAGATGATCATACAAATAACTAAGATAGAAAGAGAAGCTTCCATATTTAAGAATGATTTCTAAGGTCAAATCAATAAAACAGAGTGACTGGTTTTGAATATGAGGAATAAGAAAGAAGGATGTTGTAGAATCTGTTTAAGTTTCTAGCTTAAGAAATTTATCAAGTTATAAAGTGCATGTATGAATATGTAACAATGAATCCCACTATTGTGCATAATTATGATGCACAAATAAAAATATGAAGAAAAGAAAATAATTGAAGAGAATGTGCAGAAAGATTTGTACAAAAGAATGTACAAAAATTTAAAGTTATAAAACAAACATGCAGAACTCATGAAGGGGTAAAAATATTTGAGTTGCCCTTGATGCATCTAAGTGAACCTGTTCAGTTTCAAGTTGAGAGAGCTAAGAAGCAAAATCTGGGCAAAAAGAAAACACAGATTTGAGAGTTAAGAATTAGCTGATAGATGAAGCAATGGGTATGATTTTGAGGTTATTCAAGGAACATAGATAAGTGAGAATCAGGTCAAGGATGCAACCCATAGAAATACTTTCATTCATAGAATGAATACATGAAAACAAATAAGTCAAATGAATGTTAAGAAGAGAACCAAGGGATGGAAAACAAAATCAACATACAAAAATCAGTAGCTTTCCTATATGCCAACAATGAATTTGCTAAGAAATCAGGAAAATAATCCCATTCACAATAATTTCAACAAAAATAAAGTACTTAGGAATGAAACTAACCAAGGAAATGAAAGATGTCTACAATGAAAATTTTAGAATATTGAAAGAAGAAATTAAATAAGACACAATATAGAAAGACTTCCCATTTTCATGGATAGGCAAAATTAATATTGTTAAAATAGCCAAATAACCAAAAATAATGTACAGATTCAGTGCAATCCCTATTAAAATACCAATGGCAATCTTCATAGAACTAGAAACAGCAGTCGTAAATTTCATTTGGAAGAATAAAAAAATGCTCTATAGCAAAAGTAATCCTAAACCAAAAAAAAAACCAATGCTGGAAACATCACAATACCTGATCTGAACTTGTACTGCAGACCTATAGTAACCAAAACTGCATGGAACTAGCATAAAAACAGACACATAGGGCTGGGGATATGGCTCAAGCTGTAGCGCGCTCGCCTGGCATGCGTGCGGCCCGGGTTCGATCCTCAGCACCACATACAAAGATGTTGTGTCTGCCAAAAACTAAAAAATAAATATTAAAAATTCTCTCTCCTCTCTCTCTCTCTCTCTTAAAAAAAAAAAGACAGACTCATAGACCAATGGTACCAGACAGAAGACACAGAAACAGATTCACACACACCTACAGTCATGTGATCCTTGACAGGGGTGCCAAAAACAGACATTAGAGAAAATACAGGCTTTTTAACAAATGGTGCTGGGAAAACTGGTTATACTAATATAGAAGAATGACACTAAATCCTTATTTCTTTACTTTGCCCAAACATCAACTCAAAGTGGATCAAAGACCTAGGAATTAGACAACAAATTTGGTAACTCATTAAAGAAAATGTAGGGTCAACACTCTAACATATAGGCATAGGCAATGGCTTTCTCAATAAGACTCCTAAAGTTCAGGAAATAATATCAAGAATTAATGAATGAATGGCATCAAATTAAAAAAACTTCTGCACAGCCAAGAAAATAATTAAGAAGGTGAAGGGAGAACCTACAGAATGGGAAAATATCTTTGCTAGCTACTCTTTGGACAGATAATTACTATCCAGCATATGTTAAAAACTCAAAAAACTTAACACCAAAAACAACCCAATCAATAAATGAGAAAATGAACTAAACAGACATTTCTCAAAAGAAGAAATACAAATTACAACAAACATATATATTTAAAAAGTGTCCAATGTCTTTAGCAATTAGGGAAAGGCAAATCAAAACTACATTGAGATTTTATCTTCACTTAGAATAGCAGTAATCAACAATACAAACAATAATATATGTTGGTGATGATGTGGGGGGGAAAATGAAACACTTTTACACTGTTGTTAGAATTATAAATTAGTACACTACTACAGAGATCAGAATGGATATTCCTCAAGAGACTAGAAATGGAATCACCATGTGACCCAGCTATGCCACACCTTGGTATTTATCCCAAAGAAATAAAGTCAGCATACTATAGTACATGCATACCCATGTTCATAGTAGGACAATTCACAATAGTCATATTTTGGAATGAGCCTGGGGATATCAATGGATGAATAGATAAGAAAATGTGGTATGTATACACAATAGAGTTTTATTTAGTCATAAGGAATGAAATTATGTCATTTTCAGGAAAATGGATAGAACCTGAGAGCATTATGTTAAGCAAAGTAAACCAAACTCGGAACATCAAGGGTCCTGTTTTTTTTTTTCCTCATATGTGAAAACTGTAGAGGAAAAAGGGAAAAAGGTTGCAGGGAGGGTCTCATGTCTCATGAAAATAGAAGGGACACCAGTAGAATAGAGGAAGGGAACCAGAGGGCATAGAAAAGAGAAATACAGGGAAATGATATTAACCTAATTATAATGCTATGTCATGTGCATTTACAAATATGTAAAAATTAATCTCACTATTATGCATAATTATCATTCATCAAAAAATATACAGAAGAAAAAGGAAGAGAATCAAGTGAGAATGGGAGGGAAACACATGAGAAAGGAGGAGTGACCATACTGAATATTAACAAAAAATAAATCAACTATTAAGAATTGATAAATATTATTTAAAGTTACCAATTATTCAATATCACTGAATGGTAAATATCTAACATTAATATTTGTGAAAACTTACAATAAAGCTAATTAAGCTAACAAACAAAGAAAAATTTATATTTTATTTGACATCTGGGGAATATTTGATGCTTTTTGTCCAACTACTTTCTGGGAAGGTAGACACAAAGGAATAAATGTCAAGGGATAGATGTGAGGTAACATAAAAGAGACAATAAATGTAGGTTTCGTTTTGTAAAGAATCTTGGACATGAGTAGAAGGCAAGAGCTAGAGTGAAGAAGTAAGAGCATCAAGCTCTTAAACACAAAACAAACTAGAAAAATCACAAACCAGGAAGCAGATCTATGGATAGACTCCTATTGCCAGTCAAATGGGAGACTAAGCAGGTCATAATAGATACGTGTCTATCTGAAGAGTGGCACATACTCCCGGCTGCCACTGTGTCACTGTCATAGAATTGTCTGTGTGATAAAATCCCCCTCTGGTGTCCAAATAGTCTGTGCAGCTGACTTGTCTGCAACTGCCTTTAACACCCCAGTTCTATTCTGCACTGAAAGCAGGGACTTCAGGGGACACTGAAGAGATGTAAGGGAAATCATGCTTCAATCTTAACATAAGAAATATGAAATTTAGAGACACTTAATTCAGTCACAAATCTGATGATCTGAAATATCATATTCACAACATATGACACTCCTTTCTTTTTTATTTTTTAATATTTATTTTTTAGTTTTCGGTGGACACAACATCTTTATTTTATTTTTATGTGGTGCTGAGGATTGAACCCAGTGCCCCATGCATGCCAGGCGAGTACACTACAGCTTGAGCCACATCCCCAGCCCAACAATATATGACATTCTTTACCTAAGACTTGGAGGTGATATCCACGACGGAAATTCCCATGATATGTTGCCATTTGACACCTAAAATATCCATCATGAGTGATGGCTGTTGCATAAATCTGAAGGTGAGGACTCTGGTCAGGTCTGGAGGCCCAGGTTATTCTCCTGTCAACACAGATGGTTTCGATGGTTTGATTTGTTTCCCTGTCGTGAGCAATTTTGCATGAAGGCTTGTTTCTGAAGCGTATTCGCCATGTTGTTATCAGTACTCTTGTCAATGGAATACAAGGGCAATAGAGCACCACCTTGGTACCCATCTGCACAGACAATGAAGTGGTAACTGGACACACATGCATACATACACAAGGAGAATGAGAAAAGGAAGCCTTGATAAAGGACCTGTGTGTGTGATTTATCCACCGCACATTACTGAAGTCCTAGTACAACATTGCTTTGCTGGTGATCTTACTCCAGAAATATTAGATTTACATAAGAAATTAACATTCACAAAATATACATAATGTATTAAAGGAAATTCAGACATTAACAATTTTTCTCCTGCAGTATGAATTATTAGGGAAACTATGCATTATAAAATATGTTGAAATTAAATCAGGAGTTTCAATGTCTAGAAACAGACAAGAAGACAGAATTCTAAATTAAATGACAAAGACAATGTTCTAATTCTAATATTTTGGCAGTGAGCAATACTGATTTTATCATACAATTCATGCTCCTAGGGAGATAAAATAAAATAGAATAATTATCAGGCGGTGATCACCCCCCGAGGTTTGATGAGTACAAAACTATCAGTAACATCAAATCTAAATGCCTGTTACTAAGGGTGCAATTCCAGACAACATAAATGTGGGAAGTATGTGGCACTTTTACTAAAGTTAAATAATATAGCATTTAGATTGAGTGTGATGGAAATTTTTAATTTTTTATTATTTACAAATCACAAGTCAGTAAAACCAATATATTTTGAAATAATATGCAGTTTCACGGGTTCAGCCATTCCATGAAAATGAAAAATGCCTAGTGAAAAGAGACCTTCAAAATATTTATTTATGGTAAAAAAGTAGTTTGGTGTATAAAAAAATGAAAAACTTCCAGTTTTTACTGTAAATGTGTGATATTATCAAACATAGTATCTGGAGAAGTTTCCCTTCCTTCTTGTTATAGAGCAACATATATCCACAGATAAATGAATTATGACGTGTGCTTACATATTTTACTGCAGCGTGTTCAATCCAGTTCTCAGAATTAAATATACAAGTTGTCCCCTTGTGTCCATCTTTTAAAGCAAAACTTGAGACCTGTAACCTATAAACATCTTCTAATATAGAATCTCACATTTCCCATAAACCAGCATAAACTGTCCATGACTGAGCATAGTTTACTGAGAGGTGGTTACTCAACCAATGTACCTGCCACAACTCACCTGTAACAAAGGCAAGGTCAGTGATGTCATCACTGTAACACAGGCAGAGCGGCTATGGTGGAGCAAACCTTTTGAGTAAATGAAACCTTCTTACACTAAAATCTACAATCAATCAACATCTGTCCTTTCCTGTTTTAGTATCACTCTCTCTTCTGGGTACCCAAGCCTTTGCATTTTGTGATCAACTAAAGATCATGTAACTAGATGAAGAAAGAGATAGGACTTGAACACAGTCCTGACAGAAAGTAAGACTGTACCTTGTTCAGGGAGCAAGTAGTGGTAGGGTCACTTGGGACACCTCATACCAAAACACTCAGATTGCCATATTCTAAAGCCAGACAAGAGGCTGCCCATCAGCCACTGTTTCTAACAAAGTTCCACTCTCCATCCCCTCAGTGCTGGCCCTCAATAAGGAAGCATATTACCTTCCATAGGGGGTAATGCCATCTGCTGTCCATCCAAGCATGAACTACTTGAATCTAGAAAATATTTAGAGAAGAGTAAATGAGATCGATTTGATATGCTCAAATGGAGGGGAAGCCAGTATTTCTCCATATTCTCCTTCAACGTGAGAGACAATTGGTTAACCATCACGAAAATTATATAACCATTGCAAAACACAAATTAGAAGTTATGCCATCTAGTAATAAAACTATGTTAATACGTTGAAAATTATATTCAGAAGGTATTAATCAAAGGTTTCACATTTTTCAGACACCTAATCTTGTCAACCATTTACACAAGGTAACCCTGTCTCCCTTCTCCAGCCAGAGGGATTGGTCCAGTGTGGGCATCTCACATGAACTGATCTGACTCAACTCCTTTCTCCATATGCCACTCCCTAATTAAAGTTGTTTGGTCTAATGATGGGACCCTCACCCTGACAGATAAAGCAGAGCCTTTTCTCAAGGATTTTAGAAACAGAATTGAGAAGACTTCATTTGTCTACCCTTTTACCATATTTTTCCTACTTTGGAAGATAAAAAAAATATGGAGGGGAAATGATGCAGAATAAGAGGGAGGAACAGAGGTGAGAGTCCTTATCTACTTCAATATTCTAATTTCATAGTTCCAAGACCCACATGCAATAGTTCCCTTGGGTGCTATAATATTTTTTATAATGAAAATAATCCTGAGCACCTTCATAGTAAAACTAGAGATTCCTGAGTCAAGGATCCAGACATTAGGAAGGGTGGAGCTGAAGTGCCAAACCAAAGAGCAATATTAAAGGAAAGTCTGAGCTATGAACAGTGGAATGTGTGAACACACACAGCATTCTCCCTTCCAGAACACCAGGGTCAGGTTTATTCTTCCAGGGCAAAGTACTGAAGAGTAATTCTCCAAAGAGTCTGAACAGTCCCAGAGAAAAAGACCTTCAGAAATGTAAGGAAGAACCAATTTTTTTAAGACAAAAATCATTTACATTCTTGTTCATGTATCAAAACTTATTAGTTTGTAAATCCCACCATCAGATAATACAGCTTTGAATTGGTTCTTTAGTGCTCAATTTGAAATTTATTGAGAGCAAGGATTACCAAAGGGTTAATAAAAGTATTGTATGAGGGGAAAAAAGATGAAAAACAAACCAATATCCAGGAGAAAAAAGGAGCTCAGATTAAGTAAACATAGGATCAAGCAAAAGATTGAGGCAAGGAGAATGTCCAGGCCCATAGCTTTGCAGAAAGTCAAGTGACCAGCAAAACTTATTAGTCTCAGAGCATTAAAAAAACTTCAAGAAAGTTTGTCTTCAGAGGGAAAAAAATATTACTAGGTGTTCTCTAGTCCAGTCAGTGAGATCAATAATAAGTAACAAAAGGTATATATATCATTAAGGAATCCCAAAAAAGTAAAGCAATTATGAAGTCCAGGAAAAACAAGAAGTTATTCAAAAGAGAAAGAATTACTTTATTTCTTGATTCAGCACTTAATAACAAATTAATGCAAACATTGGCCACTTAAGTTAATGAAGTGCTGATATATTAATAACATGAAAGATGAGGAAAGGGAGTAAGATAAGGTTAAATCTTCATCTACCATAAGAGAAAGTGAGTACATAAAGTCTAAATTCAACACACTAAGAAACAGCACTGTGAGAATGTGGTTTAAGAAAATGGAGTTAATTACCACAAGAAACACTTAAAGATTTCAAAGTACTTGCCTCTGGGGATTTGAATGAGGACACAGTTGTGGGGTTGGAAAGGCACTAGTAGGGCTGGTATCTTTCAGTTACTGACTTATAGAACAATTTGACTTTTAATTCTGTATGTTACATTGATGTTAATAATATTTAAATTTTTAAATAAAAGGAAATGAAGGTAGGATTGAAGCAGAGAACCAAGAAACCAAATTACAGATGTGATTATAAATTTTATCAGGAAGAGCCTAGAGGAGAAATTTTACCACACTAAAGTTCATGAAGGCAACTTTTTTTGAATAACTTTATCCTTTTACTAAAACCATAAGCATTTTTTTAAAATTATACTTTATCTCTCAATTAAAACCATTAATAATAAGGGAAGAAAGTGCCCCAAACAAAGATGCTACAATAATAGAATCCATTGACAGCACAGTACATGAAATGTCACAGACACAATTAATATAGTCAAAATGGCCATACTGCCAAAACTGTTACACAGATTTAATGCAATTCCTATTAAATGCCCATGACATTCTTCATAGAACTAGAAAAAGCAATCACGAAATTCATTTGGAAAAATAAGAGACCCAGAATAGCCAAAGAAATCCTTAGCAAAAAGAGTGAAGCAGGGGGCATCACAATACCAGACCTTAAACTATACTATAAAGCTATAGTAACAAGATGACATGGTATTGATATTATGGTACAAAATAGAAGACACAGAGACAAACCCACTAAATACAGTTGTCTCATACTAGACAAAGGTGCCAAAAACATACATTGGAGAAAAGATAGTCTCTTCAACAAATGGTGCTGGAAAAACTGGAAATCTACATGTAGCAAAATGAAATTAAACCTCTATCTTTCACCATGCACAAAAATCAGTTCAAAGTAGATCAAAGACTTAGACACTAGAACAGAGATCTTGAGCCTAATAGAAGAAAAAGTAAGCCTAAATCTTCATCATGTTGGTTTAGGACCTGATTTCCTTAACAAGACTCCTAAAGTGCAGGAAGTAAAATTAAGAATAAATAAATGCATGGATTCAAACTAAAAAGCTTCTTCTCAGCAGAGGAAACAATTAATAACATGATGAGAGAGCCTACAGAATGGAAGAAAATCTTTACCACACATACCTCAGATAGAGCACTAATCTCCAAGATATATAAAAAAGTCAAAAAATGTAACACCGAAAAAACAACCCAATCAATAAATGGACTAAGGAACTGAACAGATACTTCACAGAAAAAAAAAATACTATTGATCAAAAAATAAATGAAAAAATGTTCAACATCTCTAGCAATTAGAGAAATGCAAATCAAAACTACGCTAAGATTTCATCTCACTCCAGTCAAAATGGCAATTATCAAGAATACAAGCAATAATAAATGTTGGTGATGATGTCCTCACTAGGTACACTCATACTTGCTGGTGAGACTGCAAATTGGTGCAACCACTATGGAAAGCAGTTTGAGATACCTCAGAAAACTTAGGAAAAAAAAACACCATTTGATCCAGCTGTCCCACTCCTTGGTTTATACCCAAAGGACTTAAAATCAGCATACTACAGTGACACAGCCACATCAATGTTTATAGCAGTTCAATTCACAATAGCTAAACTGTGGAACCAACCTAGATGTCCTCAGCACATGAATGGATAAAGAAACTGTGAGATACACACACACACACACACACACACACACAATGTGGAATATTACTCAGCCTTAAACAAGAATGAAATTATAGCATTTGCAGGTAAATGGGTAAAACTAAAGAATATCATGCTAAGTGAAATAAACCAATCCTCAAAATTTAAAAGCTGAATGTTTTTTCTTATAAGTGGATGATGATCTATAGTTGCATGGGTGAGACAGTGAATAATTAAGAAACTTTGGTTTGTATAGATGGGTGTGAAGGGAGAGATGGGGCTATAGGGATGGGAAGGATGGGAGAATGAGACAGATATTATTACCTTATATACACGTATAATTACACTACTGGAGTGACTCAGTACCATGTAGAGCCAGAAGAATGAGAAATATGTGTCAAAATATTCTACTGTCATGTATATCTAATTAGAATATTTTTAAAAGAATATTTAAAAAACATGAATATGCTTTTAAAAATACACTATTCAAGTCAATACTAGTATAGAAGGGAGCATTAAAAGAATAATAAGCAATAAACATTGATGAGCCTATATCAATATACTATGCTGATTTTAGTTCTTTTGGATAAATACCAAAGAGTGGGATAGCTGGGTCATATTCTGGTTCTATTGCTAGTCTTTTGAGTAATATTGATACTGTTTTCCATAGTGGATGTACTAGTTTGCAGGACCACCAACAATGCATGAGTATACATTTTCCATAACATCCTTGCCAGCATTTATTATTATTATAGCTCTGACTTCCCTTTCTTGCCATTCTAACTGGTGTGAGATGAACTCTCAATGTAGTTTTGATTTGTATTTCCCTAATTGTTAGGGCTGTCGAACTTTTTTTGTATACTTGTTGGCCATTTGTATTTCTTCTTTTGAGAAATGTCTATTTAATTCTTTTGCCCATCTATTGATGATGCAATTCACAATAGCCAAGTTTAGAACCAGCCCAGGTGACTCTAAACAGATGAATGAATAAAGAATATGCAGTATATATGTACCATAGAGTTTTACTCAGCCAAAAAGCAGAATGAGTTTATGGCATTTGCTGGTAAATGAATGGAACTGGAGAACATTATGCCAACTGAAAAAGGCCAGACTCAGAAAGTCAAGAGTTGAATCTTTTCCTCAAAAGTGGAAGCTAGAGCAAAATTAGGGGAAACTGAGGGGATTCCATGAAAATAGAGGGAAGATTAGTGGAATAAAGGACAGAGATTGAAGGGGAGAGAAGGGAGAAACTGAGGAATGAAATCCATCAAATTATGCTGTGTACTTATGTGACTATACCAGTGAATTTCACCTTTCACCTTTAAATCACCAATTTAAAAACAACATATAAAAAGAAGGAAGAACAATAGAGGTAGAGTAACAGGAGAAGGGAGGAAAGGAGGCAAAGAGGAAGCACTGGGGAATGAAATTTAAAAATTGTATTTCATGCATGTATGATTATGTAAAAATGAACCTGATTATTATGTATAACTATGATGCACTAAAAAACATTTTCAAAAAGGAGAATACACTGCATTCTAAAATATGACTTTTTAAAACAAATTCTTCTAGACACCTCTTTAGGAAGAGAAGAGTGATAAAATGGAAGCTGAAAAGAACAACTATGAATAAAATTTCACCATATTTTCTTTCTTAACATAACTCTTTTAAAATAATGGGAAACAATCAAACAAATTTTAACAACTAGAAGAATTACTAACCAGGAAGCAGATCTGTGGATTGACTCCTGTTGCCAGTCAGGTGGGAGACCAAGCAGGTCACGGTGGACACATTGCCATCTGGATAATGGCACCTACTCCTGGTCGTCACTGTGCCATTGTCCTGGTATTCTTTCCCAGTGACACAATCCCCCTCTGGGGCCCAAAAAATCTGTGCAGCTGGCCTTCCTGCAATTGCTTTGCACTCCACAGTTCTATTCTTCCCCGGAGACAGGGTCACTTCAGGGGGCACTGCAGAGATGGAAGGGAAATCATGCTTCAGTCTCAACACACGGTTATGGGATTACAGAGACATCTGTTTCAGTCACAAATCCAGTAACCCAAAATATCACAGTAGACGACATTCTTTACCTAACACTTGGAGGTGATATGTAAGTTCAAAATTTCCATCAGTTGTTCCCATCTGACATGTGTAATCCCCTTCATGTGAGATGGACACTGGATGGATCTGAAGTTCAGGATTCTGGTCAGGTCTGGAGGCCCAGGAGATTCTCCCATCAGTACAGTTGTTTTTCCCGGTCTCATTTGTTTCTCTGTTGAGGGAAATGGTGCACGAAGGCTTGTCTCTGAGGTGTATTTTCCATGATGTTAGTATCAACACTGATATTGGTGGAATATGAGAGCAACAGAGCACAGCCTTTGTACCCATCTGCACAGCCAGCCAAGTGTTATCTGGACACACACAAGGAGAATGAGAAAAGAGGCCATGATAAAGAACTTTGTGTTTTCAATTTGTTCACAGAAGATTACATAAAGTTGTGCTAGAACCTTGCTTTCCTGTTGATCTTATTCCAGAAATATTAGACTTATACAATAAATTAATATTCACAAAATATATATAATATACTATACCAAATCCAAATGTTAACCAATTTCATCCAGTATTATGCATTACCATGGAAAGAAAATGTATTATAAATATGTTGAAATTAAATCAGAGTTTTGATATCTAAAAACAGACTGACATAAAAAAGAATTCTAGATAAAATGACAATTTAGGACAAGTAATGTCCTAAATCTAATGTTTTAGTGGTGAGCAATGTTGGATTAGTCACACAATATATGCTCCTTGGGAAACAAAAGAAAACAGAATATTAGTTATGTGGTTGTCTCCCCTTGAATTTTGATAAATGCCAAAAAAAAAAACCAAAAAACTGGTAGCATCAAAATTGAATATCTGTCCCTCATGGTAACATTTAAGATAAACATGCATCTAGAAAGTATATGATACTTTCATTAAAAGTAACTCAGATGGAATTCAGGTTGAACTAGTTGGAAACATTTTATATTTTTAGAGAATAACAAACTCAGTGAAATCAACAGATTTTAGTATAATCTGTTATTTCATCAGATTAGTAATTACATAAAAAAGAAAAATGACAATGCCTAGTGACAAGAGATGTCTACATATATTCACTTCAGGTGAAAAAGAAATGTGCTCTGTAAATTAAGAAACAAAAACCAAAATTTGTTCTGCTTTGGAAATTTTTTTATAAAAAAGGATTTTATTGCAAAGGTGTGATATTATCATAGACTTTAGATATTTTTTTCTTCCTTCTTGTTTAGACCAACATATACCCACAGAGAGATTAATTATGACCTGCGCTTACGTATTTTGTTTTAGTATGTTCAATCCAATTCTCAGAATTAAATATAACAATTGACCCCTTGTGTTTATCTTTTAAAGCAAAATTTGAGCCCTCTGACCTATAAATATCATCAAACATAGAATCTCACACTTCTCATAAACCAGCATAAGCTGTCCATGACTGAGCATGGTTTACTGAGAGGCAATTACTCAACAATGCACCTGCCACAACTCACCTCTAACAAAGGTGAGGTCATTGATGTCATCACTTAACACAGGCAGAGCAGCTAGAGTACAGCAAACCTTTTATGTGAATGAAACTTTCTTTCACTAAAATCTACAATTAATACCTGTCCTTTCCTGTTTTAGTATCACTCTCTCTTTTGTGTATACAAGTGCTTGCATTTCATGGTCAACCAAACATCACATAACTAGATGAAGAAAGAATGGAACCTGAACTCAGTCCTGACAGGAAGTTAAACCCATGCTCTTCCCACCATTCTAGTTTGACAGAGGTGTAGCAGCAAATAAGATTGTGCCTTGTTCAGGGAGCAAGTAGTGGTAGGGCCACTTGGGGCACCTCAACTACAACTTTCAGATCACCACATTGAAAAGTTCATCTTATGGCTAGCCTGCAGCCAGGCCATCAGCCACTGTTTCTAACAAAGTTCCACTCTCCATCCCCTAGGTGCTGACCCTCGATAAGGAAGCATATTACCTTCTGTAGGGATGAGTGTCGTCTGATTTCCATCCAAGCATGAACTAATTGAATCTAGAGAATATTTAGAGAAGAGTAAATGAAATCAATTTTATATGCTCAAATAGACTAGAAGCCATTATTTCTCCATATTCTCCTTCAACATGAGACACAATTGGTTAACCCTCACTAAAATCATATAATCATTGCAAAACAGAAATTAGAAATTATGCCATCTAGCAATAAAAGTAATTTAATATCTTGAAAATTATATTTGGAAGGTATTAATCAATGATTTCCCACTATGGAACCCCTCATTTTTTTCAACCATTTTATATAAGGTAACCCTGTCTCCCTTCTTCCACCCCCAACTCCTTCTCCAACTAGGGGGATTGGTACAGTATGGGCATCTAACTGTATATGCTACCTCCTAACTAAAGTTATACGGTCCAGGGATGGGAACCTCACCTAGATGGAAAAGGAGAGCCTTTTCTCAAGGAATTTAGGATCAGAATTGAGAAGAATTCATTTATCTCTCTCTCTCTCTTTTTTAAGAGAGAGAGAGAGAGAGAGAGAGAGAGAGAGAGAGAGAGAGAAAATGTTAATATTTATGTTTTAGTTCTCGGCGGACACAACATCTTTGTTTGTATGTGGTGCTGAGGATCGAACCCGGGCCACACTCATGCCAGGGGAGCACACTACCGCTTGAGTCACATCCCCAGCCCTCATTTATCTCTCTTTTGTCTCAAATTTTTTTAATTTAAAAAGGGGAGGCAGTGATGCTAAGTCAGAAGGGGGTACAAAGTTGGAAGTCCTTACTTCCTTCAATTTTCTAACTTCTTGGTTCCTAAGACCCTTGGGTGAGATGAATTTTTTTCTCATCAAAGTAGTCCTAAACACTCTTAAATATGATTACTGAGAGCTCGCTTTATTGTGTTTAAGAAAATCCAAGGTGCAGGAGTGGGAAATTCAAATTATTTTGTTATTATGTGGTACTCATATTAATCACAAAGCTAAATACTGTTTTATGAAAGTATATTCAGGTTAGTTGTAAATGCATATTGCAAATTTTAGGGCAACTATGAAAAGTAAAAATAGAAACATATTTGTTATACTAAGAAAGGAGACAAAATATAATTATTAAAAATGCTCCACTAAAACCATTAAAGGCAGACAGAAGGGGAAAAAAGGAAAGAGGGCAACAAAAGGAAAACAGTAGAAACTACAGTAATCCAAATACATCAGGTCAGTTTGAATATCAATGATCTAAACACTCCAATTAAGAGAGAAATTCTTCACTATAGGTCAAAAAGCAAGAGCCAACTGTACTATATCTATACAAAATTCACGTAAATATAAGGATCAATATAGTTTAAATGTACAAGGGAGAAAAAAGGTTACTATGATAATTCTAGTAAAAGAAAGTGTGAATAGTTACATTAATTTGGTCAGAAAAGATTTCAGAACAAGGAAAAGTATCAGAGTTAACGGCAGGCATTGTGTAAGGGTAAAGTGATCAATTCTCCAAGAAGACTTAATAATTCTTAACACATATATACCTAACAACTGAGTGTCAAAATGTGTGAGGCTAAAACTGATATAATATTAAGAAGTAATCAAAATGGACAGAACCAACAGGCATAAAATCAGGAAGGACACCCATATCTGAACTCAATAGTCCCATCAATCAACTGGGTATAACTGACCTCTCTAGGCTACTTTCAACCACAAGGGGATACATATTCTGTTTTTAATAGTTTTTTAAATTAGTCTTGTGGATATACATGACAGTGAGATTCACAGTGGTATATTGATACATGTACATAAGTAAAATTAGGTCAGATTCATTTTACTGTATTTTTCTTATTTCATCCCTCCTCACTTCACATCGTCTAGCAATCTACTTCTGGCCATATATCCAAAAGATCTGAAATACATATGTCATGTATATCTGCACTATTCTGTTAATTTCAGCATTATTCAAAATAGCCAAGATATGCAAATACTTAAATGTCCATCACTGGGTAAATGGATAAAACAATTACACACACACACACACACACACACACACACACAACAGAATAGCCTTTAAAAAGAAGGAAATTTTGTCATTCATGACAACAGGGATGGAAGTGCTAAGTGAAATAAGTCAAATACAGGAAAATGAATACTATATTATCTCACTTTTTTTAAAAGAGAGAGAGAAAAAAAATTAATATTTATTTTTTAGTTTTCAGTGGACACAACATCTCATCTTTATTTTATTTTTTATGTGGTGCTGAAGATAGAACTCAGTGCCCCGCATGCCAGGTGAGCACACTACCGCTTGAGCCACATCCCCAGCCCATGATCTCACTTTTATATAGAATCCAAAAAGGTAGATCTCATAGAAACAAAGAGTAAAAACGTGGTTACCAGACACTGGAGGTTTGTGGGAGGAACAGCAAAAGGTAAAGTGTTGATCCAAGGGTACAAAATTCTAATTAGACTGGAGGGATAAGTTTTAATGGTCTATTGTACTGCATGGTGACCACAGTTAGTGCATCACTGGAGTAAGACACATCAGAAGCAGTGTGCCAGATAGTGCACAAATTTATCACTACAGGACAATTCAAAAAGCATCTTACAATTGAATCAAGAGAATCCTTGTCCCTATTTAAAGATGGTTTTATTTTCTTCTAAAAATGTCAAAATGTCACACTTACCAGGTACCATGATAATGATGGAGGTCAGTAACCTCAAAGCCAAAGTACTCTTCAAAGTATGCATTTGGAGTGGTGTTCTACTTAAACACAAATCCACTGTGAATCAATCTCTGGGCTCATTGAATCTGTCCCTTCTGGTCACTTGTGTTTACTCTCAATTCGACAGGATTACATGTCATTTCTCCTTTTCATTTTGTTTATCATTATCTTCATTTTATTTCTGTATGATTTTAGCTGATTAGTCATGGGAAGGAGACACAATTAGTTTTGGTGAGTGATAAAGGAAAAAAGCCAAGAATCATCGATTCTCCCATAGCACTAAAGTAACAAAATTAATTACATAGCAATTTACGGGATAGGGAAAGTCAGTGAAATGAATCTAGCCTGACTTTCCTACATTTATATATGAATATACCACATTGAATCTCAACATCATGTACATCCATAAGACACTAGTTTAAAAAAAATTATTAATTTATTTATTAAAAATAAATGACATACCAATTTATTTTATTTTTAGTGATGCATTATAATTATACAAAGAGTGAGATTCTTTATATTTGTATATGCACATAGTATAATTGGTCAAATTTTATTTTAAAAGTAACATTATTAAAAGTATAAATTATATATGATAAAATGCACAGAGAGGTTACACCTTGGTGAACTTGTACATATATACATACACTCACATAAACATTTTCAAAACCAAGGTGGCTCTCATTTTCATTACTCAAAATTTCCTTTAAGCTTTCTCACTATTCTGTTTTTTAATTCTTTTTTTTTTTTTTTAGATTCAAACAGCAACTCTTTATTCCCGAACTCACACCAGCCATCTACAATCACGTTCTGGGGAAATCGACGTTCTCTGCCCAAATCCACCTCCACTGGGCTTCTATCTCCAAAATATACTGTCTGAATCCCGTGAGAACTCAAGGGGAACTCAGGCAGCAGGATACGCCCTATTCCCAGCAGGAATAATCTTAAACCTTAAACCTGGAACCTAAACCGGGAACGCCCTAATCCGCCTTGGTCCTTGAGCAAGGTCACCTACATTCAATGTCACTGCAACATGGGGTATGCTGGCAAGGAAATTGTCATACCTACTTGGCTAATGGCTCCCTTTTTAATTCTTTATTTGTTCTTTTTAGATATACATGACAGTAGAATGTATTTTTATATATTATACATACATGCAGTATAACTTATTCTATTCAATATTCTTTCCTCGGAGGTCAATATCACTCTGATTTATATCATCATTGATTCTTTTTTTTATGGTGCTAGAAATTGAATCCAGAGCCTCACAGAAGCTAGGCAAGTGTTCTTCCACTAAGCTACATACCCATCCCCACATCATTAATTCATTTTGCTTGTTTTATAGAATCACATATTTAAAATTCTTTACATAGTTCAAGTTTAAATGCTATGTGGTAGGGTTTTTTTTAATGAATGTACTATAATTTATTCATCAATTTCTTTGTGGATTTGGATGATACCAGTTTAAGACTAACATAAATATAGTTTCTATGAACATTCATGCTTTGCACATGTTGTTTGGTCTATGTACACACTCATTTTCTTGAGTATATACCTATGAGTAAAATTAGTGGTTCATGCCAAGCTAAATAAGAAAAAAGAGAGAAAATGCAAATCATAAAATTTGTGATGAAAAAGGAACTATCACCATGGACATTATTGAAATACAGATGGTAATCAGAAACTACTTTGAAAGTCTATACTCCAATAAAATATGAAATCATGAAGACATCAACAAATTTCTAGAGACTTATGACCCAAATTGAATCAGGAGGATATAGAAAATTTAAACAAATGAATTTCAAGCAATGAAACTGAAGACACCATCAAAAGCCTACCAACAAAGAAAAGCCTAAGACCAGATGGAGTCTCAGCTGAGTTCCACCAGATCTTCAAAGGAGAACTTACATTAACACTTCTCCAATTATTCATGAACCAGAAAAGGAGGAAACCCTTCCAAACTCATTCTATGAAGCTAGTGTTACTCTGATACCAAAACCAGACAAAGACACATCAAGGGAAGAAAACTTCAGGACAATATCCCTGATGAACACAGACACAAATATTCTTAATAAATACTGGCAAATGCATACAAAAACAAATTAAAAAGATAGTATGCTGGGCGTGGTGGGGCACACCTGTAATCCCAGTGACTCAGGAGCCTGAGTCAGGAGAGCGTGAGTTCAAAGCCAGCCTCAGCAATGGCAAGGCACTGAGCAATTCAGTGAGACCCTGTCTCTAAATAAAAATACAAAATAGGGCTGGGGATGTGGCTTACTGGTTGAATGCCCCTGAGTTCAATACCAAGTACCAAAATTTTTTTTAAAAAAATAGTGTACCATGATCAAGTGGGGTTCATTCCAAGGGTTCAAGGTTGGTTCAACATACAGAAATTAATACACATAATTCATCACAAAAAGACAAGAATCACATGATTATCTCAATATATGCAGAAAAAGCATTTGAAAAAATACAGAACCCCTTCATGCTCAAAACATTAGAAAAACTAGGGATATATAACTCAACTTTGAAAAAGCTATATATACTAAACCCAAGACCAACATCATTCTAAATGGAGAAAAATTGAAAGCATTTCCTCTAAAAATTGGAACAAGACAGTGATGCCCTCTTTCACTGCTTCTATTCAACATAGTCCTTGAAACCCTAGCTAGAGCAATTAGACAAAAGAAAGAAATTAAAGCGATACAAGCAAGAAAACAAGAGCTCAGACAGTCCCCATTTGCCAATGACATGAATCTATACTTAGAAGACCCAAAAAGGCCCACCAGAAAGCTTATTGAACTCATAAATGAATTCAGCAAAGTAGCAGGATATAAAATTAACATGGATAAACCGATTGCATTCCTATACACCAATAACAAATCAGCTGCAAGAGAAATCAGCTGTTCTGTTCACAATAGCCTCAAAAAAATTGTGAATCTAATAAAAGAGGAGAAAGACCTCTCAATGAAAACTACAGAACACTAAAGAAAGTAATTAAAGAATACTTTCGAAAATGGAAAGTTGTCCCATACTCTTGGATTGGCAGAATTAATATTGTCAATATGGCCCTACTACAAAAGTGCTATACAGATTTAATGCAATTCCTATTAAAATTCCAATAACATTCTTAGTAGAAATAGAAAAAGCAGTCATGAATTTCATTTGAGAAAAAAAAGAGATCCAGAATAGCCAAAACAATTCATAGTGAGAGAAGTATGCAGGAGGCAACACAATATCAGACCTTAAGTTATAATACAGAGTTACAGTAACAAAAATGACATGGTATTGGCACCAAAACAGACATGAAGACCAATGGAACAGAACAGAAGACACAGAGTCATATCAACATAAATACAGTTATCTCATACTAGACAAAGACTCCATAAACATACATTGGAGAAAAGAGAGCCTCTTCAACAAATGGTGCTGGGAAAACTGGAAATCCTTATGTAATAGATTGAAATTGAACCCCTGTTTAAGACCCTGCACAAAACTCAACTGACAGTGGGTCAAGGACCTAGGCATTAGACCAGAGACCCTGCACCTTCTAGAACAAAAATTAGGCCCATCTCTCCATCATGTTGGTTCAGGAATGGACTTCCTCAATAAGATTCCTAAAGCACAGGAAGAAAAATCAAGAATCAATAAGGGGGTGGTATCAAACCAAATAGCTCTTCACAGCAAAGGAAACAATTAAGAATGTGAAGACAGCCAACAAGGTGGTACACACCTGTAATCCCAGAAGCTCGGGAGGCTGAGGCATGAGGATTGCAAGTTCAAAGCCAGCCTCAGCACCAGCAGGTGCTAAGCAACTCAGTGAGACCCAGTCTCTAAGTAAAATACAAAATAGGGCTGGGGATGTGGCTCAGTGGTCAAGTGCTCCTAAGTTCAATTCCCAGTACCTCCCCTTGAAAAAAAAGAATGTGAAGAGAGAGACTACAGAATGGGAGAAAATCTTTGCCACCTGCACCTCAGATAGAAAAATTAATATCCAGGACACACAAATAACTCAAAAAACTTAACCCCCAAAAAATAATAATCATAGGCAAAGGAATTGAAAAGTCACTTCATAGAAGAAGAAATAAAAATGGTCAAAAAATATGAAAAAAATGTTCAACATCTCTAACAATTAAGTTTATAAAATTAAAACTACACTGAGACCCCAATCTCACTCCAATCAGAAAGGCAATGATTAAGAATACAAGTAACAATAAATGTTGAGGAGGATGTGGGGGGAAAGTTTAATCATACATTGCTGGTGGAACTGCAAATTGGTGCAACCATTCTGGAAAACAGTTTAAGGATTCCTTAGAAAACTTGGAATGGATCCCCCATTTGACCCAGTTATCCCAATCCTCAGTTTATACCCAAAGGACTTAAAGTCAGAATACTACAGTGACACAGCCACATCGATGTTTATAGTAGTTCAATTCACAATAGCTAAGCTATGCAACCAACCTAGGTGCCCTTCAACAGATAAATGGATAAATAGAATGCATTATATATGTACATAATGGAATATTACTCAATCATAAAGAAGAATAAAATTATGGCATTTGTCAGTAAATGGATGGATCTGGAGACTATCATGCTGAGTGAAATAAGCCAGTCCCCCAAAAACAAGGGCCAAATGTTCTCTCTGATATGTGGATGCTAACCATAGGAAGGGTAGGGAGGGCGGATGGGAATAAGAATGATGGTAAAATGAATCTGACATAACTTTCCTTTTCTCATAAATACACTACCAGTGTAACTCCACAACCACAAGAATGAGATCCTAATTAGAATAGGTTGTACTCCATGTATGTATAATAGTCAAAATACACTCTACTGTCATGTATAACTAAAGACAACAAATACAAAATAAAATGAAGCACAATTTAAGAAATTGATGGGTCATAGGAAAGTTGTATATGTGGTTTTAATAAATACTTCTTGTCCTGAGCCAAATTGCCCATTCTCATATTAAAGTTCTAACCCCAGTACTTTGGAATGTGATCTTATTTGGAAATGGCATCATTGCAAATATAATTTGTTAAGATGAAATGTACTGAAATAAGCCTGGACCAAATCCAATATGACCAATGTCCTTATAAAGAGAAGAAAATTAGGCTAACCATGCACACAGGAAAAGAAGCATGTAGGATAAAGGCAGAGACCAGGGTATTGCTTTGTCTATAAGTTAAGAAAAGTGCCAAAGACTGTCAGCAGAACACTTGAAAGTAGAAGAGAGACAAGGAATGGATTCTTCCTTCTTGTTTTTATAGAATTTAAAGACTAATTTGACAAAAGGCCTTAACACAAAGACACTTGGATAAATGAAGGACATAACTATTTGTTACTTATAGCTACAAATCAGAGAAGGCTCCCATGAAGGTCTACCCAGGAGTTATACCTGAAGATAAGGTCACAACAAGCTGGGGCTATAGAGGACAAGCAATATATGGCCAGCTAGGGAGAGGGGACTGGTCTCCATGGCTTCTTGTACATTGAAAAATTTGAATAATCTCATGAGATCTGGGTTAGCTGTTTATGAGTGATTCCTAGTTTTCTGACAGCTGGTTCTGGAACAATTAAGGGTGGGTGCCCAATGACCTGGAATGTGAAATCTGCATGAGAGAAGTGGTTGAGACATGGAATTAAATCAGATGCTCAAGAAGGGAAACTAACAGCCTCTAGTCAAGGCCTCTCAAATGGAGCTAGATGGTGTACGAGAGGAAATCTGAGTTTCCAGTTGCTCCACTGCTTGGGATTCAAGCATCAGGTGTACTTCTTCTCTGGGTCAAAGTGGGAATTCACTGAAATTCAATATCATACAGTGATAGTCTCATAGAGACTCAGAAATTCAGGTGCATTGTGCAAAGAACAAGGAAGAGTACATTGGAGCCAGGCCAGTTGCAGAACCAGTGCCAGTTCACTACAGAGAGGAGGGATAGCACAAAGAGAAAAGCACAGTGGACAAAGACAATGGAAAGACCTGTAGGATAGAAAAGAGTTTGAACTTAGCTGATCCAGCAACTGCATAGCAAACTTGTCTTTGAAAATTTCGGTTTCCCAACTGGCAAACAGAGAGATGAGACAGGGAGCCATCATGAGGAGCCCACATTGCAACTTGCTGCTGGAGAGCTCAGAAGATCAGAGCAAACATTGCCATACTGTCCTAGCAAGCATCTATCTACCATAAAGACCAGAGTGTACCTACAAGAACATAATTGAAACAGGCACAAACAGAATATTGTACCCAGGAGGACTCAAGTCAGAGATATGGAGGGGTGCTAACCATAAGGAGGGTAGGCTGAATCTGATGGCTCACATGACCAGCTGAAGAGGGTCAGGAAACTGAACAGGCAGGCATGAATATCCTCAGGGATGGAATTTGGGAAGGCCATTTTTGTGGGCAGCAGAATGTGAAATTAAAGTAGAATTCTTGGTGGGTTCCTGAGATCCATCCAGCAGAGATTGGCATCTGGCTGGCCCTACAGGTGCATCGATCTAATCTTTCTAGAGCAGGTACCACCCAACAAAGTTCCAAAAGCCTGATCAGAAAACCCAAGCCACCAGAACTGCCTACTTAGAACTCTGAAGCAGCCCCACCCTCAGAGTGTCTCGATCCAGTTTGTCCAGACAAAATCCCTATCAACCGTACTTCTCATTCTGTCCTGCCTTAGACTGGAGAGAAGGGAAGCCTCTGTTGAGGCCATGCCAGCTGGCAGTTCAATGAACCACACAAAAAGAGAAAAGATTTGAAAAAACTCAGCCCTTGCTCTAAGGGATACACCACCCAGGAAGAAATGGAAAGGATAGTCAGGAATAGGCAATGATCATCCAGATTCTCCTTGACAGTTTTGACCAACTCAGTGAAGAAAATATCTTCATTTTCATTGAGTCTGTTTTCCATGGAGTGGTGGTAGTGGTGATGTGTGTATTCATGCTGAGCTGAATATATGGATGTACATGTGGATATATGTACATTTACATATTTTTTTCTTTTTCTCTCACTTTTAGCATTTTTGAATGACTGCTATTTTTCTGTGTCTTGTCTTTTGAGGGATTGGGTTTTGTTTATTTTGTTTTTATTTTTGTTTATTTTTAGTGCTTATTTTTAGTGTTTCCTCTCTTCTTCCTCTAATAGCCAAATTCTCTTCTCTCATTTTCTATCCCTTTACTTTTTCTTTTATTTATTTTTTCTCTTCCATTTTATACCCATCACTTGCTATATCTCTTCTTTTTCTGTTAAAATTTTGAACATGTTCAACTTTCCTTTACCTTTCTATCACATTTTATTTTCTCTTAATGAACTATTATTATCATCTTTTAGAATTTCTGGTTCATATAATTCCAGCCCCCTCCATTCATGTTGCTGAATTTACTAACACTGTGTATGGAGTAGTTGACACCTGAAGTTTACTTTAGTGCCAGATCTACTTTGTGGCTAATTATTGGTTTTGCTTTTGGCAGTTGGGGACCCTTCTATTCCTGTTTCTGTGGTAATTAGTGTTGTGTAAGTCATAATAGGCACCAGGTATTTATTGTAATGCTGTAATTTGCTTCTGTTATTGCTATTGTTTGTTTTGCCCTTTTCTGGGAGGTGCCAGAAAATTACTGGGACACCACAAGTTCACAGGGTAGAATCTTTGCTGCTGAGCTAAAATCAGCAAACAGAGTACACCTTGCTCCACACATAAGTGAACCATGTTGAAACTTCAACAATATTTTATTGGTTTGGGGGTGGGGGTTGTGGCTCTGTGGTAGAGTGCTTGCCTAGCATGTGTAAGGCATTGGGTTTGATTCTCAGCACTATATATAAATAAATGAAAATAAAGATCCATTGACAATAATAAACAATATTTTTTAAAAAGGCAATTTAGAACCCCAACTACACAAGATCAAAAAAGACCTTTTCATAACATATTATAATTAAAATGCTTAACATACAGAACAAGGATAGAATTTTAAAATCTCAAGAGAAAAATATCAGGTCACATATAAAGGCAAGTCAATCAGAAATACTTCTGATTTTTCAGCAAAAATTTTAAAATCCAAAAGGACTTGGAATGATATGTTCCAAGCCCCTCAGGGATGGAGCAATGTCTTCTACAACATTGAACAGAGCTCTTATTTTCAAGTGGATACCCATTCTGGTTGATATAGGTCTTTATTTTGTGAATGTATGCTATTATACAAAGTTGAGCAGTTTACAAAATTTAAATGCAATGTTGGACCTGGAAGGTTGACTTGCAAATGTCTTTCAAAGTTAAGGGGCTTGTGGGTGCACAGAAAACAAAGGTGATGTAAGCATCCATGATACTGCTATAAAGCACCAAAGCACAGAATGCACTAGCATAATTAAAGCTTCAGTTAAGGATGGCCAAATCTAAAATTCCTAACAGTCTAAGGTTTGGAATGATAATATATGTTTTTCTGCCAATTATTTTTTATTTTTAATCCTATTGGTGGCAGGGAATGCTGGGGATTGAACCCAGGGCCTAACACATGCTAGTCCTGCACTCTATCACTGAGCTGTAGCCCCTTACAAATAGATTTTAAATCATATAGTTGTATTTGAGCTAAATAGAGTGCCAGGTTGTTTGCTAATTAAAATGTCTAAGATTAGACTAAGATATGGGCTAAGACTGGAACTTAAGACTAGAGCAGGCTCTCTGGTTCAGCCAATTACCTCAGGCTCTTTGCCTCTGTTGTCAATTTGGTTGATGATAGACAAGCCAATGAGACCCCTGGGCTGCAAGGTTTGGATTAACCCCACTCGATAGCATGCAGGCCTAAGCACTGATCATGTTTGGTTGAAACAGGACTTAATTGGGATAGTTTATGTTTTTGGATCACAGATCTACAAACAAATAGCAACAAGAGCATCCAGCAACAAAAAGATGTGCAGCCCACTTGAAAGGTTTTTATTGTTTGATACTGATTTTTTTTTTTCAGCAGGCCTTGTTATCAAGGAGGCTTTATATGGTTTGGGGTTTATGATTAATATGGTATTGGTTTTACTATTATCTGTAAATATTATTTTTAATGACTGTGTGGAGACTATATTGACTATATTCCATCTTGGTAATACAAACTGTAGTAATGACCCTCGAGAACTAATTTGAACTTCCTGGAGGGTAGCAGAAGGAAAGTCCAGATAAATTACCCTCTCCCTATGATCTGAATATAGAGGGAGGGTGTTTTGAGTGGTAGAAATTCAGACCTAAATGGGTCTTGTATCAGACAGTATTAAAAGTCTTCATATATAATCGGTCCTTAATATTAGAAAGTGGAATAAATCTCTCTTTAAGGACATGTAAGAATTCTGGTAAAGTTTTAAAAAAATGATGTGTGGTGTGAATTGGCCAAAGGGCCTTGAATTATGAGAGATCAAGATCTGAAGCAAAATAAAGGCTTATTTGCCAGATTGGACTTAAAAAAGGAGGTGAAGATATAAATGTGTCTCACTAAATAGGCTGTTTCGGTCTCATTAGGGACATGACAATTCTACTGAATGCCTTTTCCAAGAGTTCAGCATTGTGTATTTGAAAGGTGAAATGTGTGCTACAATTAGTTATATTTGGAACTTTTAAGGGGATAAGCAGTGTTCCGTGAGGCTTTATAATGTGAGTTTAGTAAAAATGAAGACTCTGGAAACATGTCTCTCCTTAGACAGCATATTAAGCTCCTGCTATGAACTAAATGCTTGTTTTTCCTAAAAGTTATATATTAGTATCCTCCTGTGTGAGGATATAAGAATTCTTTCTGTAAGCCAGGAAGCAAGCTCTCACCAGATAACAGATCTTCCAGTGTCTTGATCTTCAACTTTGCAGCCTCCTATAAGAAATGTGAGAAATAAACATTTGTTATTTAAGCCACCCCATCTATGATATTTTTGTTCTAGCAGCCTAACTTAGACAATCCCATGTGTCAGTCCCCTTGCATGTTGACATGCGGCAGCACTTGTTAAGGCTCAAACACACCAACAGGGGATTGATTATACATTGGTTAATCAATGGGTATCTTTGGCAAGCACTGCGGTGGGGTTGGCAGTATAAGGATGAACTATTTGTTCCCCTGTTCCAGAGGACTCCTTTAGAATCAAACCGGGAGCTGGTCTTCAAGGGTATGACCAACAATACCCTTGAGGGTCTGGGGAGCATGAAGTTCACAGTGAATGCAGCCAGGTGGTCACTATAAAGAAGATAGATAGGTTGCTATCCCACCTGAGATAGGTTGGTATCCCAGGTATCATTGCTCTTCTGTGGGGGAGCCCAATCCGCTTTCCTCCATATGGGCTGTACAAACACAGGAACAAACCAGGGTGCTGCCCCAAATAATAATAAATACCAATGCCAAAAATGTGAGGGCCTCCTGAATAGGCCTCTGCCAACCACAGGCTGACAGGAAACATGCTGAAACACCTGGTCCAGGAAAGTGTGACTCAAGAGATCCGTCCTTCCTATAGCCTTACCAGAGAGCCCCATCTGGCCTAGTCTCTAGCCCACCAAGTTTAGCCAATTAAAAGTGCTCATAATTCGTTTAATATTATATTAGTTGTTGGTAGACCTTTATTTATTTTTATGTGGTGCCGAGAATTGAACCCAGTGCTTCACACATGCTAAGCAAGCGCTCTATCGCTGAGCTACAACCCCAGCCCCAAACTGCTCATTTTTAATATTTCAACACAAAGGAAGTGTGGGAAAGGAGAGATGTGGAAACCAGTAATAGACATAGAAGCAGACGGCAGGCAAATCTAAAGCAGAAACTCACCACAGGCAATAGCTCCTTCCCAAGCTGCTCTTCTGGTGGTTTTGAAACCAATTAGTAAGCCAACAGCTGACCTCTGAGAAGCTATGCCAGAACCAAGTTTATCAGTTTAAAGTTCAGAGTTTATTGATTGTGGGACACCACACGGTGCTCTGGTAAAAATAACACTTGTTACTGACAACTTCAAAAGGAGAGGATTGCCACACGATCACAAAAGGGTCACAGAAGGGTCATACCAGGCACAGCTAGAATTATGGGGGCAGCATATTATTGCAAACCAGGTGATGCTGGCAAGCTTTCCTGGACTCCTTGTGCAGCAATTTGAATAATTTTGTGGGTTCCAAAGCATAAGGGCCATTCCTAGTTGTCTGGTATAGGGTCATAGGGCAATTAGAACAGGTGCATAGCAGCCAGGAGCATGAGAGCCCAGATAAGGGAAGTGGTTTAGGTTTGGCTTCAACCAGTTCTCAAGAGGGAAACTTGTTGCCCCAACAAGGGCCTCAAAACTGACTCAATACATCATTTATTTTTATTTTAATAACATATATACTAATTTATATATTTATGTATATAAAATATGTTTTTGAACAATATATAAATATATATTATATAAATGTCAAAAGAAACCAACACCCCCTCCCCCTACACCTTGATCTCAGACTCCTAGGCTCCAGAACAATAAAACAATATGTTTCTATGGTTGAAGTCATTTGTTACAGTAGCCCTAGCAAACCAACACACTCCCAAACCAGTAGAGACGTTTTCATTCATGTTCTAAAGGGACAATTGCACGTCTCCCATCCCAATGCTCCACAGTTCACATTTCAGTTCACATTAAGCCCATTTTTAAGTGTTCAGCAGGCTTTGTGGGTCATGGCTAATGAATGGGAAACCCCTGCTCTAAAACAAATTTGTTTTTATCACCATCTTGATGCACCAAAATATTCTCCTAAAAGGTTTTTTTCCCAGAACCAAATATGTTGAACCCTTTCTCAGACCTTGAGATTATTGCCAAAAAAATCAATCTGAATTATTTTTACCATATAATTTTAGATGATTTGCACTTACAGCCAGGTACAGCGGCACCTGCCTGTAATTCCAGCTACTTGGGAGCTGAGGTAAGATTGCACGTTCAAGGATAGCCTGAGCAAAACTATTTGTTTGTTTGTTTATACATACACACAGTATGGGTTCTGTTCCTCTAGAGAACACTGATTAATATGTGGTAGAAATTATAATTAACAATTAAAAAAATGTATCTTGGGCCACCAGTACTAAGTTTCAGGAGATTTTTATCACCTGGAGGGGAATCCCTCTAGCCGTCACTCCCCATCCCCCCTGCCCCAAACCCTGGAAACACTCATCTGCTTCATATGTCTATGAATATGCCTCTTATGGGTATTTTATATAAACGTGATCATATAATATGTGGCCTTTTGTACCTGGCTTTTTTCATAAAAATGTTTCAAAGGTTCTTCCATGTCATGTGTATACAAACACATTCTTTGTCATGACTGAATAATATCCAGTTGTCTAGATATACCACATTTGGCTTACACATTTGTTAGCTGATGGATTTGAGAGTTGTTTCCAATTTTGGTGATTCCTAATAGTGCTACTATGAACATTACTGTAGAGGTTTTTTAATACCTCTTTTCAATTCTTTGGGCCATAGAGTGTAATTTCAAGGCCATATTGTAATTCTGTTTAACTTATTAAAAACTTGCCAAATTTTTGTTCATAATGGCTGCAATTTTTTTTATTTCCCACCACCAATATATGAGCTTTCAAACTTCTCCACATTACTGTCAACATTTGTTATTTTCCACTTAAAAAATTATCATTATAACAATCCTAGTGAGAATGAAGTAGCATCTCCATGTGGTTTTGATTTGCATTTCTTTGATGACTAGTGACAGTGGCCGTCTTATTGCATGCATTGACTATTAGTGTATTTCCTTTGGAGAAATGTCTGTTCAAGTCTTTCAGCTATTTTTAAATTAAATTGTTTATTCCGAATAGTACAAGTTATTTATAAAATTTCTGGATACTACAACCTTACATATAATTTGCAAATACTTTTTCAAGTTATGTAGGTTATCTTTTTCATTATTATTTTTAACTGTTTTGGTTTAAATTAAGATTCCATGTGAACAGGAGGGTTTTCACTTCTGAAAAAAGTCATTGGGATTTTGATAGGAATTGCATTGAATATGTAGATCTTATTGAGAAGTATTGTCTTTTTAACAACATTGTCTCCAATCCATGAACATAGGATGTATTTCCATTTATTTAAATCTTCTGAAGTTCTTTTGACAATATTTTATAATTTTCACTGTACAAGTCTTGTAACCCCTTGATTAAATTAATTCCTATGTCAATGTTTTTGATGCTTTTGTCAATCGAATTATTTAATATTCTTTTCAGATTCTTCTTAATTGTTTAATATTGTTTAATATTCTTTTCAGATTGTTCATTGCTAATGTATAGAAATGCATCTCTTTTTTGTTGGTTGGTTGGTTGTTACTGGGAATTGAACCCAGGAGTGCCTTACCACTGAGCTACATTCCCAGCCCTTTTTATTTTTTATTTTGAGACAGGATCTGACAAAATTGCACAGGGCTTCGTGAAGGTGCTAAGGCAAGCCTCAAACATGTGATCCTCTTGCCTCAGCCTCCTGAGTCACTGTGATTACAGGCATTTACACTGCATACAGCAGAAATGCATCTCATTTTGGCATGTTGTTCTAGTATCCCCAAACCTTGCTGAATTTCTTCATTAGTCCTCGTGGGTTTGGGGTTTCTTTGTGGTATGTTTAAGACATATGTCATATGTGAGTAAGGAAATTTTACTTCTTTCTCACCACTTGTGACAATGTTTATTTCTTCTACTTCCCAAATTACTCTGAATAGAACTTCCAGTAGAATGTCAAATAAAGTGGACAAAGTGGGCCCTCTTGCCTTGTTTCTGTTCTTGGGGGCAAAGCTTCTGAACTTCATCACTGAGCATTCTGTTAGCTGTGGGTTTTTAATAAATGTCCTCTATCGTGTTTGGATGTTCCCTCCCTATTCTGAGTTTACTGAGTGTTCTTGTCATGAAAGGGTGTTGGATTCTGTGTAGTGTCTTTTTTTTTTTTTTTTTTTTTTTTTGGTATCATTGAGATTATCATGTGTAGGGTTTTTTTCTTTATTACATTAATGTGGCTTATTACATTGATTGATTTTAATATGTTGAACCATTACATTCTGTGGTTCAATTCCACTTAACATGCTGTATAATGCTTTTACGATGCTACTGCATTATGGTTGTCAGTATTTTGTTGAGGATTTTTCTATCAATATACGTAAGAGATATTGTTCTATATTTTCTTGTGATGTCTTTGTCTGACTTTGTTATCAAGTTAATGTTGCTCTCATAGAATTAATTAGGAAGTGTTCCTTTCACTTATATTTATTGGAAGAATTTAATTTGTTAACTGTTTAAATGTTTAGTAGTATTCACCAATGAAGTCATCTAGTCCTGAGCCCTTATTTGTAGAGAGGTTCTTTCCCTCCATATTTTTTATTGGTGTATTATAATTATACATAATAGTGAGATTCACTGTTACATAGTCATACATGAACACATTTTAACAATAAAATTTGGTCAATAGCATTCCCCAGGATTATTTCTCTACCTCCCCCCACCCACCCCACTCATCACTTTACCGGATTTCCCTTAAACTTTCATGTGATTCCTCTGACACCTTTCTTTTTCTCTGTCCTCATATGAGAGAAAATATATGACCCTTGACTTTCTGAGTCTGGCTTATTTTACTTAACATAATGCTCTCAAGTTCCATCCATTTTGCTGAAAACAACATAATTTCATTTTTCCTAATGGCCCATCATGTGACTATGCCAAAATTTCTTTAACCATTCATTCAGTGATGGACACCTTAGTCTTGTTCCATAGTTTGGCAATTGTGAATTGTACTATAAACATGCTATAAACATGGGTATGCATATATCACTATAAAATGCTGACTTTAATTCTTGAGGATAAACACCGAGGAGTTGTATAACTGA